GATTGTACTCAGTGAGAACACTGTATATCTTTGTCTAAAATATTATTTATATAAGGGATAAGAGAATCTTTATCTGTGCCACAATGGGGAAATGATGTACCTTTTAAACTACTAGTAACAGTACATTGCAAGCATCAGTTGAAATAAATCGCATATGATTATTTAAAAGAGACAGTTCACACATTACATAAACAAATTGTATTTTTTGTACTGAATACATTTGTAATATTTTTTACATTAAAAGCAACACTGATGATTCTAATTTATACCCCATATCTGATGTACTAGTAATAGTGATTTTCTTTTTAGTTTTGCCAATATCCAAGAGCTACAGTCCAGGCCTTCCCTGCAGTACGTCATTATGATCAGAGCTCACACAGCCTGCAGGCACACTCAATAAAGGAGTCCCACCAAAAGACAAATGCTTTTGTTGAACATGTCTTCAGGGGGTTTCAGAGGGCTGGTTAGTCTATAACTGAGACAGCCTCCTATCAGTGGCCTCACACACAGTGATCTATGAGGAGATACTGATCACCATGTTTTCGCATAGGCAGGAGATAGACGATTGTGAGTTGAAATTGGATCTTGGGCCATAGTGTGTGACTGTGTGTGATGGTTCAATACCCTTCCAGAAAATTCCATTTGATTTCTATGGAAAATATTTTTACCTCATGACCGCAATAAAAGCCAGAATTCCTGAGTGGTTAAATTAAATTGCACAAATCTACTTTGTCTGCAGAATTGAAAACACTCCACTTATATGAACAAATCTTGAAATGCTTGACTTTTTGAAGCTATGATTGCAGCCTATTATGATTTGAAGATATTAAACTAGAAGAGGTATGCCCAGGAAATATTGAAACAGTCTAGATGACTCTGCTATCTGTGACATTGTGAGGCACTGTGGTGGTAAAGGCCTCTTCTGTCCTATTTTGTGGTGACAGTGCTGTAGAAAGAAGGAGCAGAGTTTGGCAGACGCCTCGGGCCGTTTCCCTCTCCCCTGCCCCGGTGAATGCAGATCTATGAGGGGACACTACTCTCACAATGATGACTGAATTGGCCATGCTGAGTGAAGAAAAGCCCCCCTCTCCAGCTCTCTCAACATGACACTCCGAGCATGGACCCTCCTGCTGCTGACAGGGGTTTGAGAGCAGGTCATAGCTGTCGAGATCTGAAAAAGACACAGCTAAAGTTGAAGCAGATGTGTGTGTGGATCCAGAGGTTAGGAGTGCAGGGACCGTGGTTTCTCTTCCAAAGATAATCCCCTTTTAACTCTGAAATGTTGCCATAAAGTGCAACAGTGCGGTGAAGCATGAAAGTGGTCTCGTCATGCATGACATTTACCACTGAAATGTGGCTTCCATATTCACCATCTTTTGTTCTCGCTCTGACCGTGTGGCACAGTTAAATCATGTACTCCTATTGAACACAATCTTTTCTTTTGGTCTTTCTTATTGGAGTGGTCCAGCTAATTATCTCTCTCCTAGTGTGCAGAGAATTGTATTTTGATTCAGCATCGGTCATTTCCATTTATCAAAGTTTTCAACTGGCACTGTGCATCAACTTGTGTGTTGAATACATTAATATAATATTTTGTAGTTGTTTTGATATTTCAATGTAGAAACCAGTGGTAGTAGGAATGGGGCAAGGTCTCATGCCACAAGATCTCGTGAGACAAAATTGCCGCATACACACATAATCCCTCATATTTTCAGTTGCCTTGGAAAAAAGGGGTTAACTTTGCTGAGTAACAACCCTTGAGATGCTGTAATACTAAAAAGCAGTGCTACAATGACAGCAAAACTGTAAAATTAAATGAAGTAAAAATTGTGAAGTAAAAATTGTGAACTGAAAGGCACAATTTATTTAAAATAATTTTAAAAATCAAATTTTGTCTCCATCTCAGGGACTGAATTCCATGACATGTCTCATAGAAATTGTGCCTCATCCCAACCCTAGTATTTACTCAAATATGTTTGGTATTCATTAAATAACTTATATAGGAATAATGTTGTGGTTATAACAATAACCACAATTGTCAAGAGTTGAATACTATGAAAACAGACCAGCTCGGCTCACAACCTGATGCCTTCCAGACCACAATAGCAGTTTGATATGGCTGGTAGACTGAGTGTTATCCTATTAGCATGAAGAGCAGTCAGGCTAATGCTTATGTTTCGGGGGTAAATGGATTGTTAGTATGGATTTCCAGTTCTCTCTTGAGCCCTGCCACTTAAAGAGCCTTCTATGAGGCTTATTGATATTTTAAAGAGGTGTGTAACATAATCATAGGCCATGAGGTTTAAGACCATAATCTGGATTTTTTATTTTTATTTTTTAACATTGGTTGTGTGATTGTCTTGTTGAAATTATACACCTTTACCTTTACACCTGTTTGTAGGATGAAACACCTGTTGTTTAAATTGCTCAATCTAGAAAGATGTCTGAATGGTGTATGTACGTGTAATTGCATATATAAGTTTATATTTGGCATCATATCACCGAGCAAGAAAGTGGTCATAAGATTAAACCATCAATCATCTTGTATCCATGGGCACCATGCATACAAGATGAATAATTTTACCAAAATATTGTATCTTGAATGGGCAAAATTAATATGAATGAGTTTGATTAGTTTAATTTCTATATTTGTTGTCTCACTCTGCAGCATTGGGTTGCCTTCCTTCATTGCAGAGACAGAGAGTGAACAGTAGCTTTGGAGAAATTCTGTAAATTCCTCATGCTTAGCAGAGGATAATTTCTTGACCTGCAGTTTAACTGATGCAGTGAAACTTAACCCTTCCTGTATCAGTACAAAGTGAGATCATAATCCGGGCCATTCCAGTCTTTCAAGGTGAATTGTATTTTATTGTGACTGGCTTCAGGACATGTATGCACTGTAGTTACAAGGTTATCCATCCGCCTGGGAATCACAGCAGCACTTTCATCCTAAAGGCATAACTAAAACCCCAGAAAGATTTATTATCTAGCTTTTCTCTGATCTCTCTGCAAAACCCATTGTTGCATGACTCTCGTTAGTATACTATACATTAATAATAAGACATTGAATATGCTTGATAATTTTGCTATTTTAAAAGGGGTACTTCCTGACCACATGTATTTTTTTCCCATTTTTGTATAGACTTTTTTTGGTTCTTTTTGTAAGTAGGTGAGAGAAAGAAGAAGGCTGAGTTGCGTGTCTAGCTCTATATCCAAAAGCTATTATTAGTAATATTAGAAGTTATGTTTTTTTTGTTTGTTTTTTTTCACTAGTACATAAAGCAAATGTGTAGGTGTGCAGAAGAAAGGGCAGGCTACTTGTGGCGGAATCATAAAATGATTGGAAAGTTTCATTTATTTAAAGGAGTTAAACCAACTTCAGTTTCCATCTGGCCACTGTTGCCTGTTTTTGACATTTTCAGACATGCGCCATCAACTCCTAGTGTCATATCCCCCGTTTGGGTCAAATATTACGGTGCTTTTGCTCCCTGATTTAGGAGACAGTCACAGTTAATGCTTTAAACCTCATCAATTTGTGAGCAGTGATTGAGTTTCCAGAGCCATGTGTGGAAAAGCCGTTGACTGTGGCGGATTGCTTTTGAGGACTGTCCAGACCCACATCTTCTACAGGCTCCATGTCGTCTTGTCCAAAGAGAGTCTGACCTCAGCTGTCATTAGGTCCTGTGCATGGCCCTGAAGAGTAAACATAGACTCACAAAGGTCACTGTATGCATACAAAGGGGGCATTGGTATTGTAGGCTAGAGCCCTATGGTTTATAGAGTTAACCACTATATTTGTGATGTTGCAGTGAGGTTAATGCATATGGCAAAGAGTATTTTAAATCAGGCAAGGCTTTGTTTTTTCCATTTGATCCTTTCTTGAAAATTGCTCTAAGAAACTGATTGCCTTTTTTCATTCTGAGATATGTCATTTTTGTATAATTTTGCATCAGTTTCAGTATTTAAATGTATCTTGGCTTGCAGTATTTAATGCATGATACATAGTCTGGTAAACCTCTTGGACTGGATTCAATCTGATAAGAGGTTTATATTATCAAAATAAATTTACTCAGTGGACAGTTAATAATTTACTTGGTTTAAGTTTCAACTATTTATTTTTACGTGCAGTTGTTCATATTAGAGGTTCATAATTCACTGTATTATGTGTGTTTTGCCTAATACTGTGCAGCCCCTCTGTATGTGTGATCTGATGTCACTCAAGTCTTTGGGCTAAGCTTTGTCATGGAGTCGGATTTAACACAAAACCAGCAACAAAAGGTTTTCATCAACCCAAAGCTCATTTGTAACTAAACTCCTGGCAGACTTCACTAAACCAGAGGAAAGTTCTCCACACTTCATTTGGTGTTCAGACTGGGAGATTAAAGTTACAGTAATACTAAGGTTCTTGGCTCAGTCCAGAAGTAATAAATTTGATAATTTTATAAATTTGCTGTCCTTTAATGACCTTCACTCTGAAACTCAACTTTCTCAATGTTCTTTTTGGTCACTTCTCATTAAAGTTTTTTTGTTACCCCAAATGCCTCTTGTGGGTTTAAATGGAATTACTTTATGCAAAAAATAAATAAATAATAAATAAAAGTACAGTTGTTTTCTACAATTATTTCTGAATGTAAATTGTTTCTTCTACTTTTAAACCAACACTTAATTTCAAGATAATACAAAATATATGACACATGTGTATGTATAACACATATTCTTGCCAATATTATTTTCAATATTATTTTTTTACTGTGCAACTCTCATTGGCCATTACAAACACTGCTGGAGTAGCAGGTCTCAGTGCAGATTTAAAATGTGTCCTTATATCTCATGTGTTTGTCTTCATTGGCCAAACCCCCAACGCAAACATTCAGTTTAAATACTACAATATTTCAGGTGAAAATGGTACCACTGGGATGTAATTAAACCACAGGCGAAAAGGTTGGGTCATCTTTTATGGCTATTATTTCGACATTTTTTATTTCTTTTTCTCTCCTCAGATGAAGCTCTGGAATAAGTACAAAGTTACGAGTATACCATCCTTGGTGTTTGTGGATGCCATGACTGGGAAGGTGGTTTGTCGAAATGGGCTCCTAGTGGTCAGAGATGACCCTAAAGGTAATATGTGTCCACTTAATGATCAGTCAAGTTACAACACGTATTAAATATCAAGCCATACAAATATTATAATTATTAACCCATCAAAAGGAAAGTCCTTATCCTTGTTTGTACTGTTGCAGTGATAATTGTAGCCTCACATACCTCTCAGTGCATCTGTGGTTCTCTCTTGTGCATAAACTGAATCATTTCTAAACTTTGAAGTGGGACATTGAGAAGACTTGCATGCCTTTCTATTCCTGAAGATATCCTAGTTTGTGGCAAAGGCATAAAACATAAAAATCCTGCTTTTCTGTCTGTCTTTTTAGAATAAAGTAGCAATGGAACAGAATGTGAATTCCAGGAGCTCTGGGATAGATTTCACAGACCTGTAACATCTCAGGCATTAATTGTATTTTCTGACTAGACACGTAGGCAGTTATTGTATAATTGTATTGTAATGTATTTTTGTCCTGACCATATTCCACTTGTTGGCTGAGTAGTAAGCACTCTGGCCCCACAGCAAGTTAGTCCTGGGTTTAATTATCATATTGGGTAGTGCCCAGTGTCTGCAAGAGTCCTCTGGTTCTGCATAACCAAAAAAATGATAATAATAATCAGCCAAAGTGGCAGAGCACACAGTTGCAGCAGTTCAGGAGTAACTATCCATCTGATCTATCTGAACTTGTAGCTTGTGGATGTATAATAAATATTTCTTTTTTTTTTTTCTTAGATATGTTATAATTATTTTTACTTTCATGGTGATCATGTAAGCCTTCAGTAAGCTCTTTAGCTTCACTGCACATCTACTTCCATTAGACTTGGAAATCATTCTTACTGGACCCATGACCAACCACAGTTGCAGTTTATAAAAAGAGAAAAAAAACCTCATTGAATGTTTGAATATAGCAAGACGAAAGCAGGGCAGCTGAAACACTCAGAGCCGTTTGCTTTTCAGTTTCGATGAAAAGCCTGTGTAGAGTGGTGTCCGGACTAGCCCACAGCGTAAAAGATAAGAGTGCGTTTTTACAATCTACAACAACAAAACCTCAGCTCTCCCTCACAGCCAATGTGTCATTGGTCTATAATGACGCTCTGGATGACCATGTTCACTAAAAGGGGCTATTTTAAAACAGCACTAATGGTTTTTACTTAAGACTACACAAGAGATGGACCGATATATTGGTTGGTCGATATTTGCACTTTTTGTGTGTTGGCTATCAGTCTGCAAATGCCTCTGAAATATGCAAAAGTTTTGTTTTATAAAGAATTTAAAAGAAGTAAGTGTCTGAAGCTCATGTTTTTATATTGTTCATTTAACCGTATGATAAAACTCCCTGCATACTTAAGGGTCATTATATCGGTAGTAGTTTTTTAAAAATTTGTTATCGTGACAGGGCTAGGAATAGCGAGCTCTCTGTGCATTCCTGTTTACTCATCATCCCTGTATCTGTGACTCTGCTGCAGGCTTAGAGTTCCCCTGGGGACCGAAGCCATTTGCAGAGGTGGTGGCCGGGCCTCTGCTCAGGAACAACAGGCAGACCACAGACAGTAGTTCTCTGGAGGGGCACTATGTGGGCGTGTACTTCTCAGCTCATTGGGTAGGTGAAGGACACTGTAACTGTGTGTAATTTACACAAAACACTTCATCAATGTAAAAATACTCACAGAAATGAAGGAGCTCTGGTACACAAAAGCAAAAACAACTGTACATTAAATACTTGTAAAAATGAGAGAAAAATTAACAGTAATGCTGGAATTTCCCTATTGTGGGATAAATAAGGTTCTCTTATCATAAAAAATAATAATACAAATATAGACAAAATGCATTTCAAAATATATATTTTACATGAACATTTAAACACATTCAAACTCATTTTAATGAGGTAAACACAGCAATTTGTAAATCCATATCATGTCTACCTTTTCTAGTCCCAAACCTGCATAAATTGATTTGCTAAAACCATTTTGTAAACCATCACTCAATACTACTAGCATAAATTGAGTATAAACTATAGTTGAAGTCATTGCTGCAGATGTTGAGTTGTAGCATCTGGTGTTGGTATGCATGTAAACAGCAGTGTGTGTCATGGAGAAGTTCAATTGCTCAAACAAAAGAGACATGACCTAAATTTAGATCCAAGTGTTTTAGAAATACAGGTTACCCTTCCTATGTGTCAAAAAGGTACAAAAATAACTATGTAGTGCTAGAGGTCACTATAAATCAGTTCTATTCTTCAGCAGTTACATGAATGCAAATAAACTGATGAATTATTTTGCTTTCACTTTCCCACACTTTGGTATGACAAGTATGTAAGCATAACTGAATCAACTGAATACACAGCTCATCAACACCTAACAACAAAACACATGCCTACAAATAATGCATTACAAATAAATGGTGTCAAGTGACCAGAAGTAAATGGTGCCAGAATTGTTTACCTAACATGAGCTGCACCTATCGCCATTGTTATAGCTGTTATTTATTGCTTTGTAATTGCACGGAAATGTGGGAAAGATACACAGATCAAATTGGGCATGAAAACCCATGTAAGCTTTAAGTACTACTGTCACTGCCACTGCTTGTCATGTCATCTTAATACCTGCTATTTAAACACGGAAACTCAGTCCTGATTTATTGTGGAATTTGTTACATTCATAATGCTTTTCAGAAACCCTTTAAACAATATAAGATTAGGTTATATAATTTGACTTTTGTGATCTATAAGACATGTTATAATTTTTACCAGTTCAAAAACATATCTGGAGTTGTGTTTTGTTTCATTCACACAGGTTTGAGTAATTTTGCGTTATTAGTCGTCTCTATCTTTAAAGCTCAAAATACTTAGTTCCATCTTGTGATGTTATGAAGCCAGTACAAACTGGCTATTCCAGGGCTGAAATTAAACTCTAATGGAGTTTAAAAACAGTTTGAGAGGAGAACTAGCCTAGGATTTGTGTGTTAAACATGTCTCAAAGAAACAGAACACAACTTCGGGTATGTTTTTGATGAGGAAACATTATAACAGAGATCAGAAAATACCATAATATATTAATAATGCTTTTTTTTTTGTTTTTTTGCTAGTGTCCACCATGTCGCAGTTTGACCCGGGTCCTGGTTGAATCATACAGAATCATCAAAGAATCGGGAAAGAAATTTGAGATTGTATTTGTTAGCGCTGATAGGTGAGTGGCTTTACTAATGTACAGTGTAATTTGTATAATTTGCATAACTACAGATTACACATCAAGTTTTATTTCTTGATTCTTTCAGGTCAGAGGAGTCTTTTAAGCAATACTTCAGTGAGATGCCTTGGCTAGCCGTGCCATACTCTGATGAAGCCAGGCGATCACGGCTCAATAGACTTTATGGAATACAAGGTAACTCATTTCAGTGTTAAAGAAGACATATTAGGCAACATGGTATTATGGTGAAAAGCTCTCAGAAGTCCATTTTAAATAATATGTGCTTTGAGAATGTATAGGAACTTTAGCCCACAGAGGAATGTAGGCTACTAATCAATTAGAGAGTGGGGTGTGACAGAGAAGTTCTACTCCTCTGCCCTTTTCCATTTAGCTAGTGTTTGGATGAAGCTGGCAGTACTTGGCTCTGGGCCGGTCCTGCACTGAATGTAAGGAATGCACAGAGAATAGATCGACTCTGCCCTGTCCATGCTATCCCCCTGCTTCTCCTGCAGCACACATGACCAGACAGGAACCTAGTGACTCATGTGCTTTGCTGTGCTCCCAGATGGTGTCTGTTTGTGATAAGCCTTTTAATAAGGCTAGAAGATTGTGATCAGAGTTCACGAGGCCATTAAGTGTGAAACAAATTCCAATTTTATTGACAATGGGATGAAGCCCAGAACTGCAGAATGACACATAAGTCTGAAATAGCAAAAAGCATCCACTCCGGCCCACGTCTCAGCGGGAGAGTGAGCAGTCTGCGTCACATTGTTGTAATGACAGGAAATTACCTCAACTGCTATCCACAGATTTGCCCATTTAACTTCCCTCCTGTGTTGGCCCCATCCCACAACATTTGTATCTTTTGTTCTGTCTCCAGGTATCCCTACTCTAATCCTATTGGACACAGATGGTCACATGATCACACGACAAGGCCGTGTGGAAGTGTTAAATGACCCTGAGTGCCGCCTCTTCCCGTGGCACCCTCGCCCAGTTTTGGAGCTCAGTGAGTCCAATGCAGTGCAGCTTCATGAAGGACCCTGTCTTGTACTGTTTGTAGGTGAGTAGACAATACACACAGATATTTTGTGTCTCTGATTGCATTGTATGAATATGTATAGAAGCATTATCGAAGTGAATATTAAATGTTGCAAGCCTAATAAAATATCTTTGCATTATGTATGAAAATCAATGAACAACCAAACTGACCTCCCCATATGCTTATTTCTGACAAACTATTCGGTACGCGTATCTTGCAGGTGGCCTCTTTCTGCATTCAACTACCTGTTTTTCCAATGACACTGCCTTGTTTTTATTCAGATGCAGAAGAAGAGGGAGAGTTGGAGCCTGCCAAGGAGCTGATCCAACCAATAGCAGAGAAACTTATGGCCAAGTACAAAGCCAAGGAAGAGGAGACACCTCTTCTTTTCTTTGTTGCTGGAGAGGTAAGATACACCACAAAATAATTTGTAGAAAGAACTGACCAACACATTGCATTCTTTCATGTAAAAAAAAATGGCACAAAAAATTTAAAATGGCGTATGCACAAAAATGACCCACCACCGTCCTCTGGTGGATATATGGAACATTTTCGTAATGGCTCTGCAATGAGACACAGATTGATGGTTAATATACACATTACCAATGAAAATTATATTGTTATAAATGTTGTATTTCAGTAGCAGACAAGCTTTCTGTAAATTACATGAAGCTCTGGATGTGCATGAAATGTGTCTTGGTCCACGCCACTTCACTAAACATTAAATTATTCTTTAGTCTCTCCAATGGTCTTCCTTGGGCTCATTTTCATGATTTCTCATTTGTAAAGCTCATTATTTATGCTGCAATTCAAATTATTGATTTCACCCTCTTTCCCCACTAGCTCACATTAAAGCGTAGAAGGGCAGTGTGTATTGCTTTAATGCGTATGTACTTTAATATCATACTTTTTTGCACCCTGCTTGTCAGTTGGTGATGGATAATATTCTTAATTTGTTTCTATAAAGTCAGCCAAACACTTGAAAGCTACCAAGTAAGATGGATGAAGCAGCTAGAAGGGAGTTTTACCATATGGTTTCTTATCAGAGGCCTGTATGAAAACTGAGAATCAGTAGGCAGAGCTATCCCTTTGGGCTGCTCATGGTTCACACATGTTGAGCTTTATTATGGCCAGCTGCAGCTGAGAGGCTCTTTGTCTTTTTGTTTTGACCTGAACTGAGTGGCACATCTCATCCATAGTCTTTTGTAACTTCCTCCATATGCCAGGACGTGATTATTATCTCTCAAAATCAAGATGAAATGGATAGTATGGATGTACTATGAAGTGGATCTTGTGTGGTTGCCAAAGTATTTTTCTAAAAATATTTAGGTCACAATCTTTTTAGAGTGTTTATATGTGTATGTTGGATATTAGTTGCATTACATTAATACACTCATATCCCTACACTGACAAGGGTGCCAAATACTGAAGTAGCGAAGACAATTGAGGAGTTAGTTAGATATTTGTGTGAACCATTCAGTTTACTACACACTTCAATGTGATGCAGCACCACCTCCTGGATCTTTGGTGTCAGTTCTGCATTTTCTGTGTAATTTCTCCCATGGATTCTTTTCTTTTAAAAATCTGTCTTTTAAGTCACATTATTTTTACTGAGGGGAAATATGCAACTGTGAAACTGTGCACTTGAAATTAGTGTAGCTCTACTCATTTGATAAGTTCTAACCTTGTACTAAAACATGACCAGTGAAATCTGAAATGTGATTGAAGCAATTCGCCTGAATTAGATATCCACATGGACTCCCAACTGCCAACTTAAATTATTGTTCAAATCTGTCTCTGTTTGATTTCAGTCCAAAAGCTTCAATACTAGACATTTTGCTTTGGGCTTAGGTTAACAAAGGTTTAGCTGAAAGTATTAATTTGTCTCAAGAGGATTGCCAACAGATGGTTAGAATTATTTATTTTAAAAAGTTGTTTGGTTTTTGGCTAGTCACATAACAAAAAAATAAAGAGAAGCCATTGCATACATTTGTGGAGATGGAGATCAAGTTCACGTTGAAAAAATCAAATTGTGATCTGATCTTTTTTTTTTTGCTAATTGCTTTTCTTTTGTCTATCATTATACAGCACCAATACTAATCTATGAGACCAGGTATTCCAAATAAATAAAAAAAATTAAATAGTACAATTTTAACACTTAAACACACAACATGTGCAAAGCTTTCATAACCCAGTGCTTTTGTCTATTGTTTGAAGTGAATGGTTGCAAAAATACTCTAAGGAATGTGCTAACTGTAAATCATTAATCTGACTTCCCTTTTACTTCTACAGGATGACATGACTGACTCTTTGCGAGATTACACAAACCTCCCAGAGGCTGCTCCTCTGCTTACCATCCTGGACATGTCGGCCCGGGCCAAGTACGTGCTTGACGTTGAGGAGATTACACCAGCTATTGTGGAGCAGTTTGTCAATGACTTCCTGGCTGAGAAACTCAAACCAGAGCCCATCTAGAATACAGAAACATGGGACTCATATCATCAAGCTCTTTCCCTTGTTTCTCCCCCGTTATCAGACTGTTGGACACATCCTATTTTTTACTGACATTTTAACTTTTAGACATTATCTTAAATGGAGTCCTTTTCTCCTGTGGTGCCTTGCATTGGCTATAACCTTCACAGTAATATATATATGGAGATTTTGTTTGAGATTTGCCTGAGGAAAATATTTTTTTCACTTAATAGATGTATGTGAATTGTGGAGAACTCAATATTCCCAAATGGACCTATGCTCACTTTGTTACCTGTTTGTCACACATTTCACTAAAGCTCAGCTGGATGTAGCTGTACAGCATCAGGGTCCTATTTTAAACACCTAAGAACACAATGTGCTTGCTTTTTACATATCAATGACTGAAGCTTTCAATCCTTTTGTATTTGTATGTTCAAGTTAGAATGTAAGACTTGCATTTATGTGGAAATGATGGTTCACGTTCATAGTCAGTGGGACTTTTCTGGTGGTGATAATCTTGAATCATGTTTGGCACAAAACGCAAAGAGGGTGTTGAATGTATTTATAATCCTCTAATTCTGTTACTTTTGGTATCTACCCTTTGACCTGACCATTTATTTCAATGCACTGGTAAGCACAATAGTACTATAAGTAAAGGCAAATCTATGTAAACTAATAAAATGCAGTGACTCATTTACTTCTTTCAATGTTTGTTTTCACTATGAGAAACAACAGCCAACACATGCTTCTCCCCTGAAAATGCATATGGATGCAGGCTATAAAGGGCAAAACCACAGGCAACAAATCGGAACACTTTTTTGGTCATTGAATCTGCAGAATCAATATAAATATTATAAATGCATCTAAGGATATTGTGTTTACTCTGTGTGTTTTTTTTTTTTTGCTTGTCCATTATTTAATCACATGTTTTGTCCTGTTGACGATCTGAGACTTTGACTTTATGGAGTGAAGTTGCTGCATTAGTTGTTTTCTGCCCTCAAACAGGAGGATGCTGGCTGCCATGGCAGAATTTAAACTGTCTACTTCAGGAACTACAGGAATAAAAAGTCTGTGGCCAGACGTTTTTTCTGCAAGTTGCACCGACTCTACACTGAGACCATGTGTTTCGCCTCCGATCACAAGAGCCGTGGTGCTTTGAGCCCATGGCTCATGGTACAGTTTAGTCTCCACTGTGGGAAGAGACAGTTCATATTCATTATCCGAATCTGAATCATAGTCCTCATAGTCCACTTGTTTGTGATTAGGCTGTGCTCTGACCCAGCCGTAATATCCTGCTTTCTGAGATGTTTTCAGTTCATCAGGTTTTGGCTCTGCGATTTCCATTCGTCTATTCCCACTGTTCCCACTGTCTGCCACATGGACAGTCACAGATTTGGGCAGATGGTTTTCAATATCATCCCAGTGCACGTTGGAATAAAGGGGAAGGCGGAAATGGGCACCCATTGCAGCACGTAATACTTTAGGTTCCCAGGCATCAACACAACCTATGCATAAAATAATCAAGCTACCGTTAGTATTCTAAAACAAAAATTGTAATCATAATGAAGAACATACCTTTAGTGAGGAGGACACTCTGACAACCTGCTGCATCAGCACATCGTAGTATCGTCCCAAGATTTCCAGGGTCACGAATATTATCACATATCACAGACAAGGGTATTGAATAATCACTGTTATATTTTAATTTTGAGGGGTCTGGGCGAGAAAATATGGCTGAAATCACAAAATAAGCATAGTTTTTTATTAATCAGTGAGAAGTTAAGAGAATGTATTAAAATTGATAGAAGATGCCTACCTATTACACCTTGTGGTGCCACTAGATCAGACCAGATTTTTATATCTTCAAACTTTACTTTGACCAGAGTGGCCCGTTTCAGCTTGACCACAGGGAGCTCCAAAAGGCGATCCATTGAACTGAAGAACACCATCTGTGGGATGGCCCCAGCATTTAGGGCATCACTGATCAGCCTCCTGCCCTCCAACAGGATCTTACCCTGATGCTCTCGAAAAGTCCTAGACCGAGCCACACTCACCACTCTCCTGAGAGGCGTAAGAAAGACACACAGGTATAGAAATCATTATCAAAGCTACATGGGTGAATTAATTCAGTGTCTCAAAATCATAGGCTATGCAAAAATCAGTAATGGTAAACTACAATAGAAATACATCATCAGGAAAAAATAAATGCAACGAATAAGAAAAACAAATAGTGTACACACTGCAGTATGACACATGAGTTGTCAGTGATCAGTGATGGACTCACGATAGTCTCTTGTCTCCGGAGAAAGCCCTCTCAAAACGGAGTCCTGCGATCTCATCTTGTGTGATAGGTCTCTTCTGAACATCTTTTGGGACAGTATAAACACTTTTCCTCTCATTGACAAACTTTCTTTCAGCATTGTCCCTAATGTCCTTGGTTGGTTTCTCCATCTTCTCGGGTTGCTGCTGTCTGGGGACAGATTTTGGCTTGATAACCTTTGACGTGTCATCTTCTGGAAATAACACGTTGACCGGTTTCCTCCTCAGTCCGCGCACATACCGTTTACTTTCCGCAATAGGTCTACTACTTCTTTTTCCCAATAATATAGCTTTACTCTCAAATGGAAGTAGACAAAACACGCTTCTCATGTAGGCTGCCATCACTGTTTTCTACGTCGTTGTTCTGTGCGACGTTCATGCCATCATGCCCCACACTGCCACCGTGTGTCCATAAAATATTTATAAAGTCTGTAAGACTGTAAATATTAATGAAGGCAAGATATTATGTTAGACGTAAAGTTACTTTTGATTAATTCATTTATTCTACACTTCTAATACTAAATCTGATTTGCACAGTAGCGTTGTTATGATCCCAGTTGATGGCCGAATCATCGATCGCCAGGCCTGATAATCGAACATTACAGTAGCTCGAAGTACCGTCAGACAGCAGCAGTCATGGCTTTGAGGAGGGCTTTACATTTTGTTTTTAAAGTTGGCGACAGGAGCAAAACAGCCACTTTTTATCGAGATGTTCTTGGAATGAAGGTATTGCTCAGTAAGAACTTATCAAATTAGGTTTACACATACTGCTAGCTTCATTCTCTGCTCATCTCACATTCCTCTGCTGCCATTTCACTTGCTAATGTCGACTACATTTTTAATCAAAATGCATTAAAGGTTCTTCGGCATGAGGAATTTGAAGAAGGCTGCAAAGCTACATGTAATGGGTATGTATGAATAATATTACACCAGTGCATTTGGACTTTGCTCCATGTGTAATGGGGTTATTAATGAGCTGAGAAAACAATGCATTCCTATGTAGCCCTTATGATGGAAAGTGGAGCAAGACAATGGTTGGATTTGGGCCAGAAGATGAACATTTTGTTGCTGAATTGACATACAATTATGGTGTGGGAGAGTACCGACTGGGCAATGACTTTCTGGTAAGAAATATAAAATTTACTTCATCTAACTTACTACAGTTAGTGTACTGTTGCAGGGAAGTGGATACATGTTTGTTCTTTACATTACAGGGCATTACTCTACAGTCAAGTAAAGCTGTCAGCAATGCCAAACATCTGGGCTGGCCTCTGACCCAGGTGGAAGAGGGCCTTTATCTGACCCATGCTCCGGGAGGTTATCCCTTCTATCTGATAGACCAAGACAAGCCTCTCACTGGTGAGTGCAGAAAGCACTGCATTAAAATGGGTACACATAAGTAACTGTGAATGTCACTGTCACTCATTTACTAATTTTACTCTGTAGACCCTGTTCAGAAGGTGTGCCTGGCTGTGTCAGACCTGCAGAAATCCATCCACTATTGGACTACACTCCTGGGTATGAAGGTCTTGGATAGAAATGAGCAGAAGAAAACTGTTTTAATGGGATATACAGATAAACAAGTAAGGGGATAAAGAATTGTCTCAGAATAGTTGATTATTTGTTAATTACATAATATGTTTGCTATTAGTGTAAGCTGGAACTTCATGATGTCTGCGGGCCAGTAGATCATGGAACAGCATTTGGAAGAATTGCATTTTCATGCCCAAGAGATCAGGTATTGAACACATCTTTGACCTTGTAGAAACATTTTCATTTTATTATGTATGTGTTATGATGTGTAAACTCATTTAGCTGCCCGACCTCGAATCTCTGATGAAAAAAGAAAATCAAAAGATTCTAACGCCATTGGTCAGTCTTGACACACCTGGGAAAGCCACTGTGGATGTGGTTATTTTGTCAGATCCAGTAAGTTATATTATATATCAGTTATAACATAATAACAATACTATTTTATGACAATAAATACACAGTTACTTAAATACCTATATTTATACTAGGACGGCCATGAGATTTGCTTTGTTGGAGACGAGGCTTTTAGGCAACTTTCTTCGGTGGATCCTCAAGGAAATGAATTACTTAATCAAGTGAGTATGTACACAGTTTTCTTTCTCATATGTAAAACAAACAACACACATGTTCCTCATGCAATATTTTGTCTCGCTTATAGGCAATGGCTGCAGATAAAAGTGAAGAGTGGTTTGCCAAACACAACAGACAGAAGGCAACAGCCTGAGAAAATGCCGCACTACAGCCTTTTTGAAACCATACCTAATTATTGTATTACATTTTGATATGAAGTCATGTATTGAAACCATTAAAACTGACAACAGCAGTCTTGTAAAAGCAAGATCTTTACTTAATTACAATTATTATAATTATTTCACATTTATGACAATGTACCATAGTAATTAATTAAATAAACTTGTTTATAAATTTTTAAATTATGTAAATGTTCGTGTTTATAACGAATTAGAAACGATTTGCTGAAATCAGAGCAGTCTGGCCCTGTTCCAGCCTCTCCAGTGCTGACTGGAGCTGAGACATGAGATGCCAGCAGAGCAGAAGGGCGGACCACAGAACACTGTTTACTTCTCCCCAAACTCTCACACAAATCTGCGTCTCCTTAGGTGTCTTCTTTTACGAAGGGTGATACTTTTGATATGCCAGGTGGGTTCATTATGACTTGCATGCATCATTTATTATGTAGGGTGTAAGTTATCAGTGCAATTGTGCTAACTGGGCTAGGTCTTTAGCATTAGCATACACCGTTACCAGCACAGATTGGCTACTGATTTTTGGGGTGACGCGGTTGCAAATGTTTTAACTATTTCATGTGCGAGGCTATTTGAGTGGAACTACCGTCCATATAGATGGGCATTTGTTTGACTGTCAACATTTGTCTTAACATTATTTTGGCGATAATGTCGCTTTTCCGTATTGCTAACACTTTAGCCAGTCTTGTTTTCTTCATAGTTTTCCTCATGAAATGCTGCCTTAACTTTAGCTAGTGTGGTTATTTAATTTCAAATCCAATAATTATCAGCACACATATATCTGTCTAATAGAGACAAATGGTCAGTATTGTAAATAAACGTGGTTCTAGTTTATTCTAAAGTGAACTTGTTCTCGACAGCAGCCTTCTGTGTAACAGCAGCTGGTAGAAGATAGAGGAGCAGCCGCAGCATGTTCACCATATCCGGGGCATGATGTCTCTTCTTCTAACAGCTCTACCTCTTTTATTTATTTTCGGATGTTTGTTCTTATGGGTTGTGTGCAGGTATTGATATGCATTCTGGCAAATTTTAGTCCAAGTCTTGAAAAGTCATTCATACACCCCATATCTCTTTTTGTAGGTGGTTTCTATGCAGGTTGGCTATAAAATATTTTAGAACTGCCTTTAATGCCGAGTTAAAAATCAACTCATTTGGCCTGTTTTCTATAAATGGAGTGGTCCTCCAGTTTCACCCTCAGCATACGTTGGTAAGCACAAATAATGTCACTTAACACAAACTCATACCCAGAAAAAGTTTATTCAGACATTTAAGTAATGTTGTTAAATTTTCTGACAATTATCTTTATATGTGACAGGAAATTGACAGAATATGGATATCAAGTAAACTGTTTAACCCAGGATTGCCGTGAGTATGCTGCTGAACCTGATATTCTACAGTACTACCATATCTCACCTACAAACATGTTTTTGCAGGAGATACTTGGGATTATGCATTGGAGAATCTCGGATAAGGTTTGACTTGCACTCACCAATGAGTCCAGTACTGAAAAAGAGCCATGGAAAGAAATCTGGAAAAATGTCAGTCAACCCAACTTTACTTCGCTTTTTTTCACAAGTATGTTGCCTTATCAGTATGATCAGTATTCATTTTACGATAAGGGTAAGACACTGAATTTCAACTTTTTTTTTCTCGTATTCAATTTCAGCTGCTATCATTCCACATCAGCTCAATCAATATTATGGTCCTGAATCTCGCATTGTCAGAGTCACTATGGCATATGACGATCACTGGCATAACCTTACTACTTGACCATCAAAGCAAAAAGTAAGATGAAATTATAAACAATATATGATTTTTCTCGATTTTTTTACTCACAATTTTTTTTTTTGTATAAGATTGTCATGGGATTTTTCTGTGGGGCAGCTAAGCAGTAAAGTTCTGAAAAGTAGCCAATTGGTAAGGCATTTTTATCTTGACATATAATATGCTGTGAATATGTGATTATTTGTGTTTCATTTTATTTTTCTTCCGTAGGACATATGTTTGGCTGAGGTTGCAGTGAGCCTGTTGTTGTCAGGTGATGTGAGCCTGCCTGATCTGAAGCCAGGCTGTTTATCTCTATGTGTGAGGACGCTCATAGGAGAGCTACATGAAGGGCTTTTCCTCAGTCAGCTCGTGCTTCCTTCTTCCCCCACCAAAACCATATCAACATATGACAACTCTAGTAAGTCAATTGCTCAAGTGAAGTACTCAAAATCAGTGTTATGCTGCATGTTATTGTTTTTATGTTAGATTGTGAAGATGGTGAGTTTATTCGAACGGAGGATGTGGAACAGTTTCATCAGCTCATTCCTGAGAAAGTCAATGTGGAATTTGATAATACAAATGTAACTCTGTCCATGCACAGCCAGAAAAGGTGAGTCAAACTTTCCCATTGATTTTGAGCAATTTGCTAAATATTTTTGGTCACATTCATTCAGTTACATAGCATATCTCTTACATTATTAATATGTTGTTGTTACATTACATATTACATCATCTTTTTGGTAAATGTTAGTACAGTCAACATAGAGTTATTTTTAGCTTACTTTACTGTACAAATACAAAAAGGAAAAGCAGGAATTGAATATTATATTCTTTGTACTGACCCACTTGTTATTCTCAGGCACTTGAACTGGACTCTGAAGTCTTTGAAACTTTGCTATGGACGAGACAATGAACAGCATCCACTCAAAAGCTTTACCCCTGAGCTGAGCTTTCCCCAAAGTCATCTCCATATCCTACTGGAAGGTTTGTTTAAAGTATATTTATATTTGTGCTTAAAGATCATTGGCTGATCTGATCATTTATCCCTTGGCAGATGGACTTCTTCTTTCCCAGAGTAGACAAAGGATTCTTTGTGTGAACACACTAAAGACATCACTGCAAGTGAGATAGCAGTTTTGCCAATTGCATTCAGAATTATTACGAAATATTTAACTGGCTTCTTGTTTAAGGTTTCATCCATGGATATTGCCTGCTCTTTCACTGTAAACACTTGTATCATACACTACCGTCATCAAGAGTTTTCCCATTGGCTTAATCTGTTTTCATGGGAAAAACTACTGCACAGAAAAAC